TGGCGAAGGGGGGTCTGGTCTAGGGTTTCAACTTTGTGAGTGGTTAACGGACTGTACCCAGGTAGGTTGGAAAACGTGGCCCCCTTGTCCTGGATTAGTCTTTGGACCTGGGTTCGCTCCTGGGGGTCTAACCGTTCTCCTAACTGTACTTCTCCCAGGTCTCCGCTCTGGCCCTCTAGGTCTAGGAGATCTGGGAGTGGCAAATTATCATAATCTTCAGTGGCAGGTGCACAGATTGCGGTTACCTCTTCCGTGCGCTCGTGGTATGGCTTGAGCATGTTCACATGGAGCATGCGCTTGCCTCCCGTGCCTGTGACCGCACCGATCACAAAGGTGGTATCACAAACCTGCTCTACCACCTTGTATGGGCCCTGCCAGGAAGCCTGCAGCTTGTCCTTGTGGACAGTGTCAATCCATATCTGCCAAGTGACCCTATGTAGGGGGAACAGTCTCTATTCTGCTCTGTGTCTGTGTGTATCATGGTCTCTGAGGACAGATGTCAATCCATATCTGCCAAGTGACCCTATGTAGGAGGAACAGTCTCTATTCTGCTCTGTGTCAGTGTGTATCATGGTCTCTGAGGACAGGTGTCAATCCATATCTGCCAAGTGACCCTATGTAGGGGGAACAGTCTCTATTCTGCTCTGTGTCAGTGTGTATCAGGGGCTCTGAGGACAGGTGTCAATCCATATCTGCCAAGTGACCCTATGTAGGGGGAACAGTCTCTATTCTGCTCTGTGTCAGTGTGTATCATGGTCTCTGAGGACAGGTGTCAATCCATATCTGCCAAGTGACCCTATGTAGGAGGAACAGTCCCTATTCTGCTCTGTGTCAGTGTGTATCAGGGTCTCTGAGGACAGGTGTCAATCCATATCTGCCAAGTGACCCTATGTAGGGGGAACAGTCTCTATTCTGCTCTTTGTCAGTGTGTATCAGGGATCCTTAGGATAGGTGTCAATCCATATCTGCCAAGTGACCCTATGTAGGGGGAACAGTCCCTATTCTGCTCTGTGTCAGTGTGTATCAGGGGCTCTGAGGACAGGTGTCAATCCATATCTGCCAAGTGACCCTATGTAGGAGGAACAGTCCCTATTCTGCTCTGTGTCAGTGTGTATCAGGGATCCCTAGGACAGGTGTCAATCCATATCTGCCAAGTGATCCGATGTAGGGGGAACAGTCTCTATTCTGCTCTGTGTCAGTGTGTATCATGGTCTCTGAGGACAGGTGTCAATCCATATCTGCCAAATCTTTGTTTAAGAGTCTCAAAAGCATTCACAGCCTCTTTGGACCATACCGTGCTACTAACCCCTTTGCGAGTCATATTAGTGATTGGGGCTATTACAGAAGAAAATCCCTTGATGAATCTTCTGTAATAGTTGGCAAAACCAATAAACCTTTGAATGGCTTTTAAACCAGAGGGTAATGGCCAGTGTAGTGCAGCCTCTAGTTTTTTAGGATCCATTTGAAATCCCGATGCAGATATGTTGTAACCCAAAAAGTGGACTTCAGGCTGGTCAAATATGCACTTTTCTAATTTACAATAAAGTTTATTTTTCAACAACGTCTGCCGAACCTGTTTCACATGGGAGTGGTGAGTTTGAAGATCAGGAGAATACACCAAAATATCGTCCAAATAAACCAAGACAAATGAGTAAATGAATTCCCTGAGTACATCATTTATAAAGTCTTGGAATACGGCCGGGGCGTTGCATAACCCAAATGGCATTACCAGATATTCATAGTGTCCACTACGGGTATTAAATGCCGTCTTCCACTCATGATTCTCTTTAATTCTAACCAAATTGTAAGCGCTCCTAAGGTCAAGCTTAGTAAATACTTTAGCTCCCTGAAGTCTATCGAACAATTCGGAAATGAGTGGGATAGGGTATGCATTTTTTACAGTGATTTTATTAAGTGCCCTGTAGTTTATGCAAAGGCGTAACTCACCACCCTTTTTCTCAACAAAAAAGAATCCTGCACCAGCTGGTGAGGATGACTTTCTTATGTGCCCTTTGCTCAAGGATTCTTTGATGTATTCCTCCATTATTTTACTCTCCTGGGGAGATAGGGCATAAACTGCCCCCTTAGGTGGCATAGTGCCTGGAAACAGGTTAATGACACAGTCATATGCTCTGTGGGGAGGCAATACATCGGATTGAGCCTTGTTAAACACCTCCTGAAGTTCTCGGTATTGTATGGGAACTCCAGGAGTTTGGGGAGTGGTAGTAGGAAGGTCAATAGTATCCAATCTCTTTAGTACTGGTTTTATACATCTCCCCATACACTCTTTACCCCATTCTAATATCTCCCCATTAGCCCAGTCAATATAGGGATTGTGCTTACTCAGCCACGGAAACCCTAATATGATAGGACATGATGGAGAAGTAATAACCTGAAACGTCATCTCCTCCCTATGGGAGGCCCCAATGGAGATCGTAATAGGGACAGTTTTGTGGGTTATAAGCGGTTGTGTGAGTGGTCTACCATCAATAGCCTCTACAGCTAGCGGCGTAGGTCTCTCCCTGACCGGTATCTCATTACCCCTAATAAACTGGACATCAATAAAATTTCCAGCAGCACCTGAGTCCATTAGGGCACTGCAAGAAAACTTCTTGTTATCAAGGGAAATAGATACCTCAAGGAGGAATCTACTTTTGTTTTTGTTAGAGGACAACTCCATCACACCTAAGATCTGTCCCCTTAAGGTTCTTAGGTGCGGAAGTTTTCCGGACGCACTGGACAATTAGTTATCATATGTCCCTTTCTACCGCAATATAGGCATAACCCCTCCCTTCTCCTATACTGTTTTTCGGCCTCTGACAGTCTAGTGACCCCCAACTGCATAGGTTCGGGTTCGGACTGTACAGGGAGGTTAGACAAAACAGGTTTAGAGAATTGAGATGCTAGGGACATAGCCGTACGTCTGGTCTTGCTTCTGGTGACTTCTCTGAGTCTTAACCTATTATCAATATGCATGACAAACGTAATAAATTCGTTAAGACTCTTAGGTAATTCTTTAGCGGCTATCTCATCTAGTATAGTCTCTGAGAGACCCTTTTTGAATGCTGAGATTAACCCATTGTTAGTCCAGTCTACCTTGGAAGCTAAGGTACGGAATTCAATAGCATAATCAGAGATAGACCGGTTACCTTGTCTGATGTGCATTAGGGCAGTGGAGGCGTCATCCTCTCTACCCAATGGCTCAAACGTGAGCTTGAATTCGGCAAGGAATTCCTGGTAATTATGAGCTATGCTCCGATTACTCTCCCACAACGGATTAGCCCAGGCAAGGGCCTTGCCCTTTAATTGATTCATTAGATAACCAATTCTTGCTCTGTCCGTGGGGAATGACCCTGGTGAGGCCTCAAAATGGTACTCCACCTGATTAAGAAAACCCCTGCATTCCTGGATATTGCCATCAAACTGTAGGGATGGTGATAAGGAGATGCTAGGAGTCCTATTAACAGTGGGTGGAGGTACACAGGGTAGAGGTGCTATAGGAGGAGACGCTGCAGGCTGCAGATGCTCCGTTCTAGCGAGAAGCGTACTTAAAGCCTGAGTGAATTGATCCATGCGGTGATCATTCTCCTCTAATTTCCTCTCGCAAGCAGCTATGTGCTGACACAGTTCTACAGGATCTATGGCCATGTCGTAATGTCAGGATTACTGTTTGATCCAGCACGTAAAACTGTACAGCACGGATGACAAATAAGTAACGTATTACCGGTCCTTAGAATGGCCAGGTTTAACGTACAAAGAATAGTCATAAATACTAGCTGAGGTCAGGGAACACAGAAAGGGACACAGCGATGAGGAAAGCCAGGAATCAGGATACCAGAATATAGAGAAGTCAATAAACAAAGCCAAAGTCAAAAACCAGGTAGAAAACTATAAACTGGAACGCGCTCTCGGACAACCACAAGGGAATCCACGACAGGGCACTGAGCAGGCTGAGAACTGGGCCTAAATACCCCTCCTATAGTTCTGATAGGCTGTAACTGGCCTTTGACCCCAAAGTCAGTTACCAGGTTTCATTTGCAATAATTACTGCTCAGCATTAACCCTTCTGTGGATTAGGTTGCTGCTCGGCACAACTTTTCCTGTGTGGACAGTAAATGTCATTAACCACTTTTCTATAAGCGGACGAATACATGACACCAGGTTTCATTTGCACAATTACTGCTCAGCATTAAACCTTCTGTGGATTAGGTTGCTGCTCGGCACAACTTTTCCTGTGTGGACAGTAAATGTCAGAAACCACATTTCTATAAGCGGATGAATACGTGACACACTGGAGATGACTTCCTAGAAGAGCAATTGCTATCCCCTTATAAAGTTTATGACGAGCAAGACTGTCGACCACTACCGTGGGTATACATTGATGGTTGTTCATATCACCACGCCGCTGGTGCTGAAACATTTAAGCCCTGCAATGAAAACTGCTGTTCCTGCAGAACAGACATGTTTTACATTGCAGGGTCAACGCTAGAGGGACATGGCACACAGACATTGGTCTGGGTGCCAGTAACGTCCCATTATTAATGCAGATTAATATTTAGAGCTTATTTGAAACTAAAACTTCGTATAGGCCCTACTTAACATAATTTTTTTTTCAGTAATTAGGATGATTTTACTGCTACGGGTGATATTTTCCCATGAGTCCACTATAAGAAAAACAACCTGATAAACACATTAAGAACACGGGGAAGCTTTATTTCCTGGATGAATCGAGTGTGTGTCTAAAAAGTGTCAAACTATCCACTTTCAGAAAAAGAATGGATTTTCAGAGAGCCATGTCAGGGTAAATGCTAGTCTTTTACTTATTTTCCAAGATCATCAAAATAAATAGCATTAAGTTGAGTAAAAAATAAGATTTATACCTAAGGACAGTAAAAAGAGGCAACTACATCATTGTACCGTTTTCACAAAGATACTTTGCTACTACTGTGTGCATTCTCTCCATGTAAAATAATTCATCCAGCTTGGCAAGAGCACTTCTATTATTCTGTGCATTTAAATGCATTTCCTCCCGTGTGAACCCATTTATTTGAAGCAAGACTTGAGGCCCTAGTATAACATTTTCCACATTCATTGCATTTTGGTGGTTTTTCTCCTGTGTGAATCCTTCGATGTGCAGACAGATTCGTGGCTCGAGTAAAACATTTCCCACATTCATTGCACTTAAATGGTTTTTCTCCCGTGTGACTAGTTCTATGCAAAGTGAGGTTTGAGGCTTGGGTAAAACCTTTCCCACATTCAGTACATTTATATGGTTTTTCTCCTGTGTGAATCCTTTTATGTGAGGCAAGCTGCCCAGCCTGAGTAAAACACTTCCCACATTCAGTGCATTTGAAAGGTTTTTCTCCTGTGTGAATTCTCCTATGTGCAGCAAGATTTGCAGTCCGGGTAAAACACTTCCCACATTCCTTGCATTTAAATGGTTTCTCACCTGTATGAATCCTCTGATGAGAAATAAGATCATGTTTTAGGGTAAAGTATTTACCACATTCATCGCATTTAAATGGTTTTTCTCCTGTATGAATCCTTTTATGGGAAGCTAGACTTGATGCCTGAGTAAAACATTTCCCACAGTCAGTGCATTTAAATGGTTTTTCTCCTGTATGAATCCTTCTATGTAAAGCAAGAATTTTTGCCCGGGTAAAACCCTTCCCACATTCATTGCATTTAAATGGTTTGTCTTCTGTGTGAATCCACTTATGTGATGCAAGATGTGTAGCTCTGGTAAAACATTTCCCACATTCAGTACATTTAAATGGTTTTCCTTCTGTGTGAAGCTTTTGATGAGCAATAAGACTGGCCTTCACAGTAAAATGTTTTCCACATTCAGAACACAAGAATGGATGTTTACCTGTGTGAATTCTTTTATGTGTAACAAGGTGTGACATATGGGTAAAATTATCCCCACATTCAGAACAAGAAAATAGATTCCTTCCACTGAGAAATGATTCACACGTAATGTCACACTCAGGAATATAGGCTTTTCCAGTTTCAGAAGAAATAATGTGATTCCCCTTATGAACTAACAGATGTGTAACAAGCTCTGCATTACTGTTAAAGATTTTTGGACACTCCGAACATTTAGATATTGCCTCTGTGTTGTGTACATCCTGAACAATAGTAATATTTTTGTCAGGTCCAGCTTTGGGCTTGTAAGCATTTATTGCTTGTGAATTTACATAACCTTCAGTGTCACCATCCCTCACATTTCCTTCACACACAGCTGATTCCATCTTTATATCAGTAGATGGATGTTCGTTATGCATATAAATGTAAGTGTCTTTGAGATTTCCTTCTTCACACGAGGCTGGTTCCTCCTTAATATAAATAGATGGATATTCTGTCTGTGGATGTTCTGTGGGTGTAGAAATGTCTATGAGACTTCCTTCTTCACACGAGGCTGGTTCTATCTTTATATTAGTAGATGGATACTCGGTCTGTGGATGTTCTGTGTGTGTAGAAATGTCTATGAGACTTCCTTCTTCACACGAGGCTGGTTCTATCTTTATATTAGTAGATGGATACTCGGTCTGTGGATGTTCTGTGTGTGTAGAAATGTCTATGAGACTTCCTTCTTCACACGAGGCTGGTTCTATCTTTATATTAGTAGATGGATACTCGGTCTGTGGATGTTCTGTGTGTGTAGAAACGTCTGTAAGATTTCCTTCTTTACATGATGGAGATTTTTGTGTTTTAGCTCTTATTTCTCTGTTCTTTGGTTTGCTCATTTTCAAATATTTTTCTAAATTGTGTTTATTTATAGTTTCATACTTGGTTCCAAAATTGGGAAAAGCAGCACGGGTGCATAATCCACTAGGTCCTATGGGAAGAAAGAGAACATTAGTAACTTATAAAATAATTTTAAAGATCAAGAATAGACACACAAACATAATTCATGTGCACCTTTTTACACATTCTCTCTGCCAATACAGTGGTGGGAGAAAGTTTGGACATTTCTGATTATGACCTGAATGTAATTCAAACGTGTCAAAGTACTAATATAAAATAAGAAGCTGCAGGGTGGGGTTGGCACTTTGTTAGGTTTAATATAATACAATGGTCATGTTGATCTTATTCTATACTATCCCACATTTGTGTCTTAAATGCCACCTATAGTCTAACCAATCTAGATAAGTGTGATACTGTCTGTGAAGAAACCCCCCTGTTTCTATGTTAGTCACTGTTTCCATTCCCCTTTTTACCCCTATTTCTGCTTATTTCATTCGGTAGATAGAACTACCGAACAAAGAACAACCTCTGGCTCATAAAACATCAAAAGACTAAGTGAAATTGCTACTTCTGTCTGTGCGGCCAGCCTTCGTTAGTCGAACGCCACGTGGCAGAGAAAACAGCGACCATCTTTTTTCATGCGAACAAAGGCAACGGGACCTGGTCATCGAGTGCATGGAACTGTTTTACGGACACTCGACTTCCCGAACATCAGTCCCAGACCGACGAACGCTGGAACTCTATTTACCGAATAGCTAGAAGAGCGCTATTCGGTACTTTGGTGCATTAGACAGAGGGGCACGAACGCTGTTAGGAGCCAGAGGGATCTATTCGGTATTTTAATTTGTTTTGATGCTTTTTCGAAAGTGACCGGCGAAACCCACCAAATTCATGGAACTGTTTTGGGCATGCAGCCCAGGGTGAGCCGGTCACACAAAACTTCCATAAAATTTGCGAACCCCTGAACCGATCTGGGTGAAATTCGGATATGTTAGTCACTCAGATCAGGTAATCAGATAATTTATGGGGATACCCCCAGTATAAACGGGTGTTCTGGAAGTTGGGGGGGAAAAGTGATTTTTTCAGCCCGGAGATAATTAAGTTACTATTTTATCAGACTGAATTATCTCCTGGGCTAGGGGAGGGAATTGTAGGTGTGTGTTAACATTTTACTGTTTGTGGTTGGTTATTGTTTGTCCCTCCCTGAGGGCTGTCCCCTTGCATGGGGACTTGCATAAAAGCTGTGTGTGCCCATTAAAGCTCAGTTCATTTTGTACCCTTCTTCTTGACTTCGGCTGATGTTTGGGGATTCATGTGTTTCACTAAGGGAATCTTCTTGTGGAAACAGGGGAATTACTATTGGATTCGTCTACCTGATCTACCGAACAGAGAGTTATATTCACTAAGCTCTGGAGGTTCGGGAGGAAACTACCGAATAAGGTTTAAATATACTTGGTTTCCTTACACTGTCCATGCAGAATTAAAGGCTGAGAGAGCTAAGTTAACAGGGTTATGGTTCCCTTACATAGCCATTTAAAGAGATACTCTAGTACTCTAAAAATTTTAGCAGAAGAGAGTGCATTTTTTTAAATGCAAAAATGGGTGAGGGCTAAATTTTAAATAAATACTTTGACATTAGGGGTGTTCCTTTTAAGAAACACACCAACCAGCATAACATCTTAAGCTCATTTAACATGTTACAGGGCAGGCACAAGCATCTCACATTCAAAGGGTTAAAGCATTTGGCAACGGTTTAAACTTGCAGTTGGGCTAAATTACCTCCCAGACACCTTCCCTTCAACTACTTCAGCACCGAGAGGATAGCCAGACGGCCACGGGCCTCATTGAGAAATAGCATGCGCTATTTGAAAACATTCCCAGTATAATGAGGAGGTAATATGGCAGGTCACAGGAGAGTAAAACAGCCATACAATACAGATTTAAGAAACCTGATCTTGCGTATATGGTATATTTCGTATCCTATAAATGATACATTGGCAAAGAACAGAGTTCCAGCTTTGCAGTGCTGTACTATATTAATCTCAATGATAACTCCCAATCCATGTTATGTGTACCTCTGATCCCACAACCAAGGAAACCCTAAGGTGTTAGTCTAAGTCTAACTGCAAGAATACCATTGAATTAAAAGTTAAAGAGACAGTTTAGGCGCCATAACAACTTAACCTAAATGAAGTTATTATGGTGCCTTAGTGTGACGATAGTCACCACCACCTGGGGTTTTTATATGGACACTTTTTGTAGGACCCTGGACTATGCCTAGGTCTATGTCACCCTGTGTCCATCAGAAGTGCAGGGTGTGTATTGTTGTTTTATTGTTGGATGTTTTGTCTGCTCTCCTGTCCTGCTGATGCTTGCGACCAAGTAGGTGGATTTGGCTGTGGAGCCTGTATAGCGCCACCTTTTGGATGCATCGGCAATATACACTACCAGAATAGCAAGGCTTTCTAATTTGCATCGTCAGGTAGATTTGGATATTATGGTTGCTGTAGGTGGGAGAGAAATTTCATGTTCGTTGTCTTCCTCACCCCTTTTATTAATATTTTAATGTGTTGTTATGAGTACCTGTAAGTTTCTTCACATCATTTGGTGAGTGTCATAGTTAGCTTTATGTAATTAGCATATAGGCTAGTCTCAAGTAAAAATATGGCTTTGTAAGTGTTCCTTTTGCAACATGTGTCCTTGAGTCCTGTGGATTTTTAAGGATCCCAGTAACCAAGCCTTCAGACCTGTTGGCTGGATGCACCATTTTTAGATCCCTGGGTTAAATCAAGAGAGCTAGGCCTAAGACCCACAAGTGCCTTTGTAAAGGCAATAGAAATCACATTGGAGGCAGAGGTATCCACCTGCCTAGAAAGAGGGCTGCAGCAGAATAGGCAAAGGTGACAATATCTGCCTGGAAGAAGGGCTGCAACGGAGTAAGCAACAGAGACAATACCTGCCTGGAAGAAGGGCAGCAGCGGAATATGCAGAGGGGACGATACCTGACTGTGAGAAGAGTCTTGTCGGGTGAAAGGTCAAGCTTCTATGACTGGGGCTGAAGCATTCCAGGCCCCTTCCCAAATATCTGGGAAGCGGATTGGGCAGAGATACTTGGTCGGAGTACAGGAGCTATGCCACAATTAGGGTGCCAGTAGGCCTCCGGGCTCACTTTTACCTCAATGGGTTAAACCATTTTCAAAAGTTTCAGCAAGTGCTGATCTTAGACTATTGGATGAGTGTAGAGGCACCCCAGCCCAGCAGCACTCTATGGTCCACAAGATGACGTTGTTTTGGTGCCTGGAGTGCTCTTTTAAAGCAATTTATTTCAAAGTCACGAATAAAAAACCTGGTAGCCACCACTAGCTGTGGGCTACTCCAATGGCAGAAGATGGAAAGCAATGAAGCCAGTGGGCAACCTAGACCTAAACTGCCTTAGATGATCTTTTGCATAACTTACAAGAGTGGCAGCAGTCTCAGACAGGAAGTCATAATGAGTAAGGTCTTAACAGCTATCCACAGAAACCAGCAATTGACAGATACCATCACATCTGCCTACACCTTCATGTTTCTTGACGACTACAGGCACCTTTACAAAATATGTTTGCACCTCAAAGACAATGAGACACTACTAAAGCTTTATTTTAACGAAAATAAAAAATGCTGTTTATGATCTATGAGTGTCTTGGGTGGTGACTACTTCTCTCCAACATGACACAGTTCCTGTAACTAACATAACATTCAGCCCTCCATCTCTTTATGGTTAAGATCAGAAGGGCAATTGCCTCCTTAACAGCCCTGCCATAGCATCAAGTCTGAGTTGCAGATCATGTTAGTGGTGCCAGCTGATCAAGAGCCAGTTCCAGTTGTACCAATATGAGTTTGTCCAATCTCTCATGTATCAAACACGCACTCCAGCATAAGGAAGAAAAAACTGCAACACACATGAAGATCATCAGAATGCTTTATTTCCTGGCTGTATCTACTGTATGTCTAAGAAGTGTCAAGCTATCCACTTTTAGAAAATAAAAAAGGTTTTCACAGAATTTTGTCTGAGTAAACGCTAGTCAATTACCTTTTTCCAATATCATCAAAATAAATAGCTGTTGAGTTGAGTGAAAAAAAACACGTATACCCAAGGACAGTAAAAAGAGTCATCTCTGTTCTTGTACCCTTTCCAGAAAAATGCTTTGAGACGGTTAGCATTCTTGTTTCTCAATGGCTTTAGGCACCTCTACAAAATCTGTTTGTGCCTCAAAGACAATGAGACACTACTAAAGTGCAGTGACCTCTTCTCTCCAACAAATGGCAATTCCTGGTGAATACATAGCATGCAGTCCTGCATCTCTTCATGGTAGATACCTGGGGTACAAATGCCAGCCCTGCCATAGTTTTTAGTTTGAGCGGTAGCCGAAGACCACACTTTAATGGTGCCAGCTGAACCAGTTGTACCAGTTTGAGTTAGTCCAATCTCTCATGTCAAGCAAAAAAACAGGGCACACGAGTATACTGAGAATCTCTCATGTCTCAAACATGCCAGGGCCAATCTAGCTGCCCAGTATTATTGAACATGACCATTCCCCTTTTACTTGAGAAAGAATGCCATTTTTTTTTTTTTAAACATTACACAGGAGTCTACCTAACGCAAGTGTACATATCTATTTAAAAGGGTTACTTCAACCACCATGAGCGTTTCAGTGATTTGAAGTATTTATGGTGTTAAGAATCTAGATGTGTAGGGTTTCTGCTTGTTGCACCCCTGGCACAGGTTAATTTGGAAGCCTGGAACTCAGAATTGCCAAATGTAAATTTTGTGCAATAATTACATCTGTAGTCCACACGTAATGCACAGTGCCAATGGATGCAATTTGCTTCTCTCTTATAGGTAGAGACTCCCTAGAACTTCAAGTATGTTTTTTTTTGTTAAGCCCCCTCATCTCCTTAAAGGGTGTTCACTCAGTTGGCAAAATGGTCCAATCACAGGTTTCGGGACCGATTAAAGACAAGGAAGTTTTAAAAAGCCCTTTTTTACCTTTTAAGGGGATGACCTAGCAAGAAATGCCTAATAGGACATTATAAAGTAAAACATAACTTAATAAAGACAGGGCTGGAGAAACCCTTTAATTTACTACAAATAAGACAACAAGATACAGCAAATACACGAAAAATTGTATGACACCCACAAAAAGTATGACACTCCAAACACAGTTTTTATTCATTTATTTTAACGATGGAATAAACATAGAAAAAAGAGACCATCTTTTTCTAGGGACACCTTCAGGGCACTATAGTGCCAGGAAAACGAGTATGTTTTCCTGGCACTATAGTGGTCCTTTAACGTCACTTCTGGTTCCTGGTCAGGCTCCTCCCAGCCCGGCCGGCAACATCGTGTTAACTGAACTTCCGCCCAGTAAAATTAACCCGCCTCATTCACCTTACCTTATTACCACTAGACCGGAACTTACTATTAAAACAACCTTGCTGAAGTCCTATATTAACCCAACAGATAACTGGTACTCTTCAACCCCGACATTACCAAAGGCCCCTCCAACTTACAACGGGCCCAACACACATTGACGAAAATGGCCGAACACAACGGGCAGATCCTGTGTTTGTCTATGTCCCCTTCACCACAACTGATCTTTTCAGTTGGAAGACTCATAACTCTTTGTATACCTACAAACCTCAAGTCATGACAGATTTGGTTACCTCCATTATACAAACACACAATCCCACCGGGGCCAATTGCCAGACATTATTATTAACTTTATTTAATAGTGAGGAAAGGACCCGGATTAATCAAGCGACTATTAAAGCGCTTGAGGAAACGGCCCGTACTCCAAATCAGGCCAATCCAGCTGCATGGGCTGCAGCCCATTATCCAAATGTTGACCCAAATTGGAATGTGAATGATGCCGACATGCCCCAATTAAGGGCTTATCGGGAAGCCATTATTGCTGGCATGAAGGCAGGAGGGAAGAAGGCAATCAATATGTCAAAGAGGGCTGAAGTGTTGCAAAAGGTTGATGAGTCACCTAGTGCCTTTTATGAAAGATTATTGGAGTCATATAGATTATATACTCCTCTTAATCCAGAGGCCCCTGAGAATTCTCGAATGATCAACTCAGCATTTGTCAGCCAGGCCCAAGGTTATATTAAAAGAAAATTGCAAAAGTTAGAGGGATTTGTAGGGATGTCCATATCACAGCTAATGGAGATCGCAAATAAAGTATATATGAATAGGGAAACTGAGACAAAGCAGGAGGAAGAACCTAAAATGAGGAAGAAGGCAGATATGCTAGGGGTAGCTATCACAAGTGTAGAAAGACAGGGAAGGGAGGTGAATAAAGGAGTCGAGAATAGGCTGAGTAAGGGACCTTTAACCCCTTAAGGACCTAACTTCTGGAATAAAATGGAATCATGACATGTCAGACATGTTATGTGTCCTTAAGGGGTTAAGTAGAAATTAATGTGCGTATTGTAGAGAGGAGGGACATTGGAAGAATGAGTGTCCACAGAGAGAGCATTATGAAAATAACAGACAAGGAGAGAGAAGAGTGCGGGGAGGTTATAGTGGTAGGTATAGAGGAAGTTTTGGAGGGAACGGTGGGAATAGTAGAGGGAGTGTTCAAGGAGATAGATATTATCCACCTACTCAGAGACCAAGAGATAGAGAGGATAGAGATTTTGTGGGTCTGGCTGACACTATCATGGAAGACTATTGATACCGACCGGGCTCCATCCTCCTTGGCCGAGGGGAGCCTATGGTCGATGTAGCAATAGGGGGAAAGAGAAGTTCTTTCATGATTGACACTGGTGCTGAACATTCTGTGGTGACTAAACTGGTAGCTCCGCCTTCAGGAAAAACTATAACTGTGATGGGAGCTACTGGGAGAAGCGCAGCTAGACCGGTTCTTAAGAGTCGCACTTGTATTCTGGGAGGCCATTTGGTGAAGCACCAGTTCCTATATATGCCAGAGTGTCCGATTCAACTTCTAGGACGAGATCTATTATCAAAGCTTCAAGCCCAGATAACTTTTCTACCTAATGGATCAACGTCTCTGAGGTTTAATGGATTACCAGGCATAATGGCGGTATCGGTGCCAAGGGAAGAAGAATGGCGCTTGTACTCCATAATGACAAGTGTAAACCCTAAGAGTGATGAACCTTTATTTGACATTCCAGGAGTATGGGCAGAGAATAATCCACCAGGGCTTGCTCGTAATATTCCACCTATACATATTGAACTAAAGCTTGGGGTCTATCCTGTGAGCCTACATCAGTATCATATACCTCAAAAGGCTAAGAAAAACATACAGACCTACTTGGATAAGTTTATAAGGTATGACATCCTAAAATTCTGTACTTCCCCCCTGGAATACTCCATTATTACCTGTTCAGAAACCAGGATCAGATGAGTATCGTCCTGTACAAGATTTGAGAGCAGTTAATGATGCAGTAGTCAATATACACCCAGTTGCACCCAACCCCTATAATCTGCTTGCTTTGATACCAGGTGGGGCAACCTACTTCACAGTTCTAGACCTTAAGGATGCTTTCTTTTGCCTTCGGATTGCTGCTGAGAGTCTGTGTATCTTTGCTTTCCAATGGGAAGATGCTGTTACAGGTTCAAAGCGCCAGATGACCTGGACCAGACTACCTCAAGGGTTCAAGAATTCATCTACCCTATTTGGATCTGCATTAAGCCAGGATTTGCAAGATTTCAAGTCCATCCCAGAAGAATATGTATTTCTTCAATAAGTGGATGATCTTTTGATAGCAGCTGTTACCAAAGAGATATGCCAACAAGCAACTTATGATTTGCTTCACATTCTATGGAATAAAATGTTATATTATGTGTTTAGGCATTTTTGTGATTTTTCAGGAAGGTGAACGTGAGGACATACAGAGTTGTGTTAGCTGCATTAAGACTACGAAAACAGGTAACCAAATATCCCAAACTCTCATTTGGCACTCACAGTATGAGTGTAGGGGATCTGTATCTAAGTGTAGATATTTAGATATAGATTACAGTGTGTGCAAACCAATATCAGGAGAGCTTAAATGTTTTGATCCCCAATTCCAACCCTGTACAATTTGGTTGGTAATTCAGAACAGTAACTCCCAGGGGACCTTGATAAATAGGACTGTGATAAATACCATACATTCTACGGGCATTCTACTATTTGATGCATGTAAGGCGATCTCGGGTAGTGGAAAACCTTGGAATGTATGTGGTAATCTTAAATGGGAACGAACGTATGAGTTTAATGATATATATTTATGTCCCAGTAAAAGATCTACTGATCCTTATTGCCCAAATAGGGATTTTAATTTTTGTCCATATTGGTCTTGTTTATGGTGGGCGACCTGGGGAAAAACAGTGGATAAAGATATGATTATCCAAAGGTTGCCCACTACACCACACTAAGTCTATGGAATGTAATCCTGTCCATATGACCATCTCTAATCCACAACATTTTATTGATAAGTTTGGAAATTTGGTTTCCAAATATATGGCACAGGAGTAGATCCAGGGACCATAATATATGTAGGACTTGAAACTGAGACGATAGCAACTCAAACTCATCAGGTTTTTCAGTATTGCGGGTAGTCTTAATGTAACTAATTGCTTTGTATGTGCAGGTACTAATATGGAAGACCAGTGGCCATGGGAGGCAAAGGAAGTATGGTACCCTGGCTCTGAGACAGATGAACAACAAATACTTTCTCAGTCTGATCATCAAGTAAGTACTAGAGGTAAATCAGAGTGGCGGTTAAAAACCTCTATTATAGGTCATGTATGTTTAGCCAGGAAAGGGCCATTGTATACCACACCTGTTGGCGAGTTAACATGTCTAGGACAGAAGGCCTATAATGCCGATACTAAAGATACTACTTGGTGGTCAGCTTCAAATGTCTCAGAGCCAACTAATCCGTTTGCCAATTACACCCATTTAAAAGAGATATGGTTTGACTGATCTGCTACATCCAATTGGAAGGTCCTAGCAAATTTATATTGGATCTGTGGTAAGAAAGCATATTCAGAGTTACCACAAGATTGGGAAGGGGCATGTGTATTGTAGATTATGCTAGCTTTAGTGTACCTATAATCTTTATTTTATTAACGACAGGAGGCGAATATTTGCTTAAGTCTCTCTTTACTAGAACTCCACAGCAGCAAACCACCAGAGAGTAAACAACCAATCAGAAAACAGTAAGGAGACCATATAAGTCCCTTCCCAACATTCCATTTCCTCTTTCAAGCTGCGACAACAAAACACAGTCGAGGAAAAACAACATAACGTAACAATAAAAAGTCCATCTCTTGATAGAAAAAACAACTCTCCTAGGAATCTTCAACCGAGTCGAAACTTGGATGTGAGTCCATCCTCGGACCTTTGCACTGAAACGAAATAAACAGAATCGAAAATCGTGATTAGTCAATGAAAGGTATGTATAAAAACATGCAGCCACCCAGAGCAAAATTATAGTGAACAGATCCGGGCCCAGGCAGAAAATTGGAAACGTATAAAAGGAAATAACCACAACGAACACTGATCAGAAATATAATTCTTTAATATTAAGTCTGACAGATAATACAACACACAAGGGTCTGGAAAAACAAAGGGTGGGAAATATTCGCCTCCTGTCATTAATAAAATTAAGATTATAGGTACACTAAAGCTAGCATAATCTACAATTTTATAACATGACAGGAGGCTTCATATTTGCAGTTTTAACGCTCAGCCAGTAGGGCAAAGGCTGCATGTTCTGTAGGCCTGAAATAAAACTGTCGAAATGTGTCTTCTCGAGACCAGTACCTGCTACCAGGCCGGCCAACGACAAGAGCCATCTGATCCAACGAGCCAGGATAATGGTAGACACCGGTTTATGCGGTCGTACGTAAGATATCAACAGTTGTCTTGATAGGGAACTTCGAAGTGGGGTAGTAACAGCCACATAACGAGACAGAGCAGAAACCACAGAGCTTCGGAGCCTCTCGAAAAAAGGGGTAGAAAATGGCAGAGGAGTCGGATTTGGTACGTCTTGACACCGCAAAGGTCACTCCATCCGGGGAAAAGGTGAATGCGTTAACATCAAAAGCCCGAACGTCGGACACCCGATGAAACGATACCAGACATAAGAGAAGTGTGAACTTGGCCGATAACTGTCAGAGAAAGGTCCTGATTCTCCGGCCACGCCTGAATGAAGTCCAAAACTCGGTGCACATCCCAGAGTGATGTATACTTAGGAGTCGGTGGACGTGACAGTCTGATTCCTCGCAACAGTCTACAAACCAAAAGGATCTTGACCAATGGGCGTCCTAGGAAGAGGAACATGAGCCGCTGAAATGGCCGATCTGGCAACGTTAACCGAGCGATATGACCTCCCTTGGTCGAAGAGGTAGGAAAGGAAATTCAGTACACTGGATACAGGTGCTGTAAAGGGATCGATACTCCGTTCCATGCACCAACGACACCATATGTTCCATGCGGACAGAGAACATCTCCTCGTTCCCGGGGCCCATGAGTCCCAGAGGAGGCTTCTAGCCGTTCCCGATAACTCATCAACATTCCAGGTACCCCTGAAAGGAGTCCAAGCCACCAAGTGAAGATGGCCCTCCAGCACGAGGTGATGATGGTTGCCCTGAGAATCCGACAGGAGAAATTGCAGAGACGGGAGATGGAGTGTGTCTCGATATGACAGCTCCAGCACTTCTGGGAACCAAGCCTGGCTTGCCAAAGGGGCGTCAGTAGCACCAGCGATGTCCGTTGACGTCGTACTTGGAGAAGGATTCTGGAGATCATAGTGAACGGTGGAAATGCATAGGCTCCCTGTGCCGGCCAGTCCTGAAGAAAAGCATCCACTGCCGCGCACATCGGATCCGGGAGCCAGCTGAAGTAATTCGAGATCTGGAAGTTCGTTCTGGAAGCGAACAGATCCACCGTTAACGGGCCCCTGCGTCGCGCCACTTCGAGAAATACTGGTCGATGAAGACGCCAATTGTTGGCATCCCTCCAGTGCCTGGAAAACCAGTCTGCCGTCAGGTTCGATACACCTGGATATTCCGCTTGTAGAGTGATATTGCGCCGAAGGCAGAAATTGTAAATCTCCTTCGTCACTTCTGTCAGTGCCCGTGAGCGTGCTCCTCCCAGGCGGTTGATATACTGTACTGCTGACACGTTGTCCATTCTCAGCAGGATGCAGCAATCCAACAGATGACCCGCCACGCTCCGTATCGCGAATGAGCCCACAATCATTTCCAGACAGTTGATATGGTAGCCTGTTTCTGTGCTCGACCAGGGACCTCCCGTGGAGGCAGTCGCGCAGGTCGCTCCCCAGCCCCATAGGCTTGCATCCGATTCCAGGACAAAGTCCGGGGTCGGACCAAAAATCGCCTTGCTGTTCCAGGCTGACATATGTAACAGCCACCAATGAAGTTCTGTCATTACTTCCTGTGTGTTGGTGATCAGCTGGTCGTATGAGGGTTTCCTGCGGAGGAAACGTGCCTTCAGGCGTTGCATGGCCCTGTAGTGAAGGGGACCTGGGTAAATGGCCTGGATCAAAGCGGACAATAGGCCTACCACCCGTGCCAGGACTCTGAGTAGGATCGTCTCCTGATGGAGAATCCGTCGGATCTCTTTCCGAATTGTTGAGATTTTTGCTTGAGGGAGACGTAGGATACACTGGGTCGCATCTATCTCGAACCCCAAAAATTGAACTACCTGCGTCGGTGTGAGGGCAGACTTCTCTCGGTTGACCACAAACCCCAGGGATTCGAACAACGAGACTGCGAAGTGCGTCTGAGATTTCAGTCTGGAGGAGTCCTCACAGAAGAGAAGCAGATCGTCCAGGTAAATCAAGCACTGAATGCCCCTGGAGCGCAGGCATGCTGTTATTGGTTTCAGCAGTTTGGTGAAACACCAAGGTGCCAAGCTGAGGCCGAAGTGTAGGCATGTGAATTGGCATGGCCTCCCTTTCCAGATGAAACGCAAGAATCGTCGGCAATCAGGTTCCACCAGTACGGAGAGGTATGCGTCCTTCAGGTCTAGACGAGTGAACCAATCTCCTGGGTGAAGTAAGTCTCTTAAAAGATGGATGCCCTCCATCTTGAAGTGTTGGTAGGAAACGAAGGCGTTTAGGTTCCTCAGATTTATGACCGGCCGGAAATCTCCTGTCTTTTCCCTGACTAGGAAAATCGAGCTGAAGAAGCCCCCGACGTCCAGCACCCACTGCACTGCCCCTTTGTCGAACAGGGCCTGTATTTCAGTGTCTATCCGGAATTGCAGTGCCCTTGACGATACTGGAGCCGAGGGAACCACCTCCTGAATTGGGGGTGAATGGAAGGCTATAACGTAACCTCGGACAGTTTGGAGTATCCAAGCATCCGAAGAGATGTCCCTCCACCTGTCGAGACAAAAACGTAACCTGCCAGCATACAACAGACTGGGGGAAACATGAGGTGTAACTTGTCTCACCTGCGGGCATTCTGCCTCTACCGCGTGTCCGGTTCCCTCTGCCACGGTACGACCTCTGGGAGTTGAAGGATCCAGAGTGGTAGCTGGGGAAGAAGGATGGTGGATGGGATCCTCGTTGGCTTGATGGCCAGAAACGGCTGGAGGCACGACCCCGCTGCCTTCCAGCCCTGCCAAAAACACGAGGTGTTCGTGCGGAACACCCTCCTCATCAAAGATTGGGCTTTATTCAGAGTGGTATAGAGGCCTTTGGAGCTCCTTGATGAAGGGTTCCCCAAAAAGTAGCCCTTTGGCTAACGGTCCCAGTTCCTTGGAACCCAACTCCGATAATTTGGCGTCCATGCGCATAGGGACCGCCCTCCTCTGCTCCGTGCACAAAGCTATGTTAGAATTGCCCAGCAGGCAAACGGAGCGTAGAGCCCAATCTCTTACGGCTGCAGCATCCAGGGGGGAGCCCTGGGAAACAGCCTCATCCGCCAAGGTAAGGATCTGTGTCAGCGGCCCTAAGATGTCAAGCACCTTATCTTGTGCCAGGCAGAGATTGCGCTCGATCCCCTTCTTGGGGTCGCGCCCGGTACGGGTCAAATAGGTGGAGACCATTGTGTCGAACTCGGGCGTCAGAGCGACCTTATCCGGCAATGTGGGTCTAGGGCACTCAGCCCTGAGCCTATTCCGCACTGCCCAATCGAGGGGTCTGCGAACCCAATAATGCATGAACTGGGCCAGGTGGTTAGGTAGGGACCACTCAGGAGACCTGGGGTGCCGGATGGTGCGTGGGTCAAATAAAGGCTCGCCTGATGAGTCCAGGAAAATGTCCTCCCCCAAGGAGTGGTGTAGATTTAGCAAGGTATCTTCATCAGCATCCTGCCGGTACGCGGATTCCTCCGGATCCTCCTTGCCCCAACCCCCTTCGTCCTCTGAGGGGGATTGATCTGCCCGCCATTTGTCCAGGACAGACAGGGGTGCGGGCAGGGTGAACTCTTCCTCCTCTTCAGGGAGGTATCGTGGGTGTGTAGGAGGCGAGGCGGTCGCCCGCTTAGGCCTTTTTGCAGGGGCCTTACCCTTCCGGAAACTCTGCTCCGGGCCTTCACCCTTCCAGTAGCGTTTGGGGGGGGGGGGGCGTGTCTGTTCTGTCTGGAGAGCCGGGGTCGGATTCTATCAGCACGCGCTGAGCCTCCGATACATCCCTATCTTGGGACGATCTAGGCAGTGAAAGCGCTTTCTCCATTGAAGCGGCAACGGGCACGTTGATCATAGCCTGTAGGCTCTCTTGGGTAGGAGCGTCCATCTTGACCTCAGTGTGATCCTGGGGGTAGAAATGATACATGTCACCCAGATATACGGGAGTAATGTAGACTGACACCAGTGTTATAGACGACCCCAGTAGAAAACCCCAGCATAATATATTAGGCCAGCGGCCGTAAGGGCTCTAGGCGCCAAATATATATGGGCACAGATGAGGCCAATCAATCTTATGGGCACAGGCCAGGCAGGCCAATCTTATGGGCACAGACAAAGCAGGCCAGACACTCAGAGCATAAGGGTCATTTGATGGCGGGTATACAGATGGGCAAATGGGGTCAGAAGAACCAAATGTAAAATGTAAATGCAGGCATTAAATACAGTGAAAAAAAACCCCTCCACAACTCTAACCCAGTATGACATCTGAAACTGGGGTACCAGATACACAAACCCTAGCCAGGGCAGAGGATGTGGGAGAAAAACTGAGATAATTAAAGAGGAGGAAGGGGAGGCTGAGGCTAAACCCCTAGCCCTTTAAATGAGATGCCTTCCTGCAGGGGGGGAGAGGGGGAGTTCCCAGACTGTGGACTAAACGGCTGGGGAACCCCCTGAAGAATGCCGAACAGAGAATGCACTAAAAACGGGTGGGGGAGGGAGCGTGAGCGTAGTGCTCCCTCCTCCACTCAGAGGACACACGCGGTCCGTGGGTGCTCTAGCCTCGACCAGGGGCCACGAGGGGAAAGCTCCGGTCGGCGGGTAGAGCACTCGCAGGCGAGCAACCCGCGACCGGAGGGAGTGAAAATTACACGGGACCGCTGGAGACGTACTCCGCGGTCCCGAAGGTTCGGGGGAGGCGGCAAACGGCCAGCCCCACGAGGCCCCCGAGCTAAAAGAGAATCCCCGCAGGGGGAAAGAAACGGAGGAATAGAGGAGGGGACAGGGAGAAGGGATAGAGCCACAAGGGGAGAGAAAGGGCTACATTAACCCCTGGTAGAAGGGTTAGACAAGAATCCCTTACAGTAAAAACAGTCCCGAGCCAAAATATATAAACATATATAACAAAAAGGCATATAAAATATAAAATATAAAATCCCAAAGCCACCCACTAATAATAGCAGGAGGCAGTGGTACTCTGACCTGTACTGATGCGAAGCAGCAAAGAAAGAGGAAATGGAATGTTGGGAAGGGACTTATATGGTCTCCTTACTGTTTTCTGATTGGTTGTTTACTCTCTGGTGTTTTGCTGCTGTGGAGTTCTAGTAAAGAGAGACTTAAGCAAATATGAAGCCTCCTGTCATGTTATAAAATTAGGTACGCTCAAACCATCCTTCTTCTTGTTGCCAATTGAGACAGGAGAGACCTTGGGAGTTAAGGTTTATGATGTAAATCATAAAAAGAAGCGAGCATCCTTGAATATAGGTAGCTGGAAGATGACGAGTGGCCTCCCCAACGCATTATTAGTTATGACAGAACCATCTGTCTGTTTATTGCTGGTGGATTAGTCTGTTTTGCCCCGTTCGTGTAAATGGCTGTTTTCTATAGCCCAGCCATACGAATGACCGTTTTTCCCGAACAAAACTACCGAACGGATGGCCACCCAGGAGAGAAGTGTGCTGCTGGTTAACCTATTGATCCCAATTAGAACGTTGTGGTTAACCGCAGACACTTCTCAATTAAACCGAATTCAGGGTGGTCGTCGTTCGTATGTCGACCACGAGGCAGCGGCCATTTTAAAACGCACGAAAGCCCAGCGGTGTTCGGCTCTATTTTCATGGAACTAAAAACAGACACTTTTTCTGCCGAACACCGCTGAAACAACGGAAAGCCTGGCTGCCTCCACGAAAGCATATGAATACCGGCCGTTTGGGAGTTTTGAAGCATAGGAAAGGACTAAACCCAGATAGCCTTCCCGTGGAGTCATTCGTATACCGAAAGACTGTAAGAATTTTGACTCCATGGCGATTGAACTATGTGTGTGGGATCTGAGCGCTATTCGCTAATAATATGCACTCAGATCCAGGCTATCTGGGGATATGTGATGCGAATGGGAAATGTTCGGTTTTTGTAAAGTTATGAATTTTTATGCATTTTCTGGTTTTATATTTAAAATGGCGACTGTCTTTGTCCTGGAGATAATTGAGTTACTTCTTAAATATCTCCAGGGCAGAGGGGAGGAAACCATAGTGTATTGTGGGTAAAAGCTGTGACTGTATGTCTGGAATGTCACCATGTCTGTCTGTCATTTAAGTCTCCCATTTTGTCCCCTAGGGGAGTGTCCACCAAGTGGGAGACCTGCATAAATACGGGCAGGTAGCCCACAGTAAAGCCAGATCCTGTTTGACCCTCAATGCGCAGCTTCTGTCTCATTATTGGGGGGGGGATTTATTATTTGCATTTAGAGACTGCTGGATGGAACCGAAAGCCGCTTGGTGGATGTTATTGTTCGGCGGCTAGCAGCAGTTCGTGGAGTTCCGTTCGGGAGGTTGGAGCCGTTCACGGATCCCGGTCTGGAGATTGCCGCTTCCCCTGAGCTTGGTTCGTACACTGCAGTTCATGCGAACGGAGATTATTGGTATTGCAGAAGGGGAAGGTTGACTAAACGGCGGTTTTGTTTAAAGACACCTGGGGTGTCTTAACATTAATTATTATGGACCTGCTACTTGGGCAGAAGATGGTACCTATGGATAGAGAACCCTAATATATATGCTTAACCGTATTATAAGACTACAGGCAGTGGTTGAGATTATCATCAATGAAACAGCGCAAGCACTTAATCTAACTAAGCAAAATACTCGGATGAGATCAGCCATCTATCAAAATAGATTAGCTCTGGACTACTTATTAGCAGTAGAGGGAGGTGTATGCGGAAAGTTTGCACATAGATGATGAAGGGCGGGCAGTGGCTGAATTTACAAGCCACATGGTAAAACTGACGCATGTACCTACTCAGGCCTGGAATGGGTATAATCCTAGTAGTTGGTTTGGAAGTTGGTATGAGCAGCTTGGAGGGATCAAGGCGTTAGTAGGTGGAGTGATATTCATTATATTCTTATGTCTCTTTCTGCCCTGCCTAATTCCATTAGTGTTCAGATCTATCCGTAGTATCATAGAGAGTACTATAGAAAGACATCTGCTCATGTAATGGCTGTCTATAGATATGAATCCCTAACCCAAAGAGAACATATTCAGGATGAGGAATGCTGAAGGAGTTGGTGATGATGCTAAGATGCTTACAAGGTCTGTTCTGGTCCATGGCTACTTGAGAGGTGTTGGTAAACTATGATTGGTGATGCATTTGGAATAATTTTGTATCAGAGGCATCAAAGGGGGGATTGTGATGGAATTTCAGTGAAATGTAAATTTAGTAGGCAGAGATTTCCACGTGGCATATGTAAGTACATGTGTATGTTGTATCAGTTAGTTACACGTAGTATGTGCAGGAATGCAGGAACTGAAATCACATTCTTTTCTCCTTTGTTTCGGATGAGCCATGTGGTCTGCCCATATAAGGAAATCCAGATCCTGTCCACCGATTGGTTAAGGGTATGTGCGGGTGGAGATATTAATGGGAGGAGTTATAGTTCTATAAAAAGCATGTACTCCATGTGTTCGGCCCTCAGACCTGTTTTGGAACGTTAGTTCATCTGAGACCCGATCGGTATGTTAATAAAGAACTTCCTGAAGACCTGGAACCATCTCTCATCTGTGTCTAGCTTCTGCAAGTTTCCTCGGTTACAGAATTATCTACTAAATATTTCTCTAAAAACTGGTATAAAAAGGCAACCAAAAACCTCCCAAACGAAGAACTATAGTCACAAGGCAAAGATCATATGTGGTACCAGGAGCAAATATCCAGGGAGAAAAAAGAAAGACAAAAAAGGCAAATGACAGATTGTGGGCAATGCAAATAAAACAAGTCAAATCTGGCTAAAAGTCTAAAAAACACATTGAACATTTATTGAAAAGACTTAAAAACGAACAAGCATAAAATTAGCAGTAACAAATAATGTGAACATATTCTCTCTTGTTCTTCACTTCTTAAACAAATAGTGCAGTATTATGACGTTTCTTTCTGACTTTATACCTGTGAATTTTCGATACTACTTGAAAATGTCTCCATATTTCGGTTTGACATACAATGCATTACTAAAATAAAAATTTTTATAAAATAAACAAACAACTTGGGTGAGCCTTCTGGTCCTCCACCTTCTTGGAATATAATCGGTGTCTCCACCCGCTCACAAACAAGCAGATTTTTTTGGCAAGAAATTATATAAAAATTAAAACCGTCTCAAAAACACTCAGGATAAAAGATACTTTTCATTGTACTTTTCATTGATAAAAGGTACTTTTGCTTAAGTCATAGCATATGCACATTTGAGAAATAGTAAGATCACCACACAGGATCCCCAATGGTCACTAAATCACAGTCCACCATATCTCCTGCTCGAATACTCCTTTTTCAAAGCCTAACCAAATCTGTACTGAAGTGGTGCAGAGCTCTATAATCCAATATTATGTCATGACTTTGGTGTCATGAGCCTTAATAGGAGGAGCCTTTTTGAAACAAGGAGTAACTTCCTCTTTAGGAGCTTATTTACTTCTTACATCGGAGTAAGCTAGGTTCTTTGACATCTAGCCGATCACTATTTTGAGGCTGCCTTTCAGTCAGCTGCACTGTGATAATGGACAAATTGCAGGACCCGGTTAACTTCATACAGCAGCACTGAAACGTGGACATCCAGCTGATGAAATGTTTTTCTCAAATCTGAATACAGATGATTACAAAAGGAAGGCCGCAATTTCCTGCTTTTTAATGTCCTACTTGAAACTATTTTTCTACACCCATTTTTTATTTTATGAATAAAAAAAAAAAAAAAAAAAAACTGGACACAATCAAAAACCCCACAGCTTACCTGGAATCCTCACTAGTTCCCCACCTCTGTTGTTGTCACAGCATGTCACTATTGAGGTGCAATGGAATGCTTCTTATAGAGAAATATTTGAGAAGACCAATCTTCCAGGCTCAGAATGCCTGCGCACGCACGTTGGGTGCGTTTTCAATGTTTAACACAAATAAATAAAAAAAAAAAAAAATAAAAAAAATCAAATTTCAGAAAATGCAGGGTAGGAGCGCACCAAGGAAGGTAGGCAACACTGGGACTTCCCCTTTCAAGCACGCCACCTGCACTGCCTGCAAAGGTAGAAGCTGACCCTGTCTGTCGCCAGCGTACTGTGGCAGCCCACAACAAAGGTGCAGCTAGCCCTGGCACAAAAAAAGTGCAAATATCTCTGTATGTACAGCATTTCAAAAAGAAGCACTGCACAGCCAGATTCTGTCCTCCATGACCACTTCAAAAAGACTAAGTGGTCATGTTAATTGAAGTAACCGTTTAATAGCGTATTGTCAATGCGATCGGAATAGCCCTGATGGAGGTTTTGGCATGGAAGGAATGTCAGAGTGGGCATCTCCCAATGGCCATCTTCAGCAGTCAAACATTTTTATGTGTCACTACAGATGCTCCTGCAACATTCTTCAAAATTATATTTCCACGTTCTTGTCTATAGGTTCCTCTGAACTCACTGTATCTCCAAGGGGAAAGCACTATTCTTCGATTGCTAAGCTACAGTCATATCTACTTTAGGCAGGATCCTCAATCCTTACAAATCTGCATTCTAGATAGGATGTTTTCCATTCTCTTTAAATCAACTGCATAAAATTCAAACAGACAATGCAAGGCATTGAACTTCCTCCAATAACCTGTATACTACCCCTGATCAGTCTGGGATTCTGCAAAAGCCAGAGGTTTTGTCAGATGAATTATTTGAGAAAGGGGATGGATATAAAAGGAATTCACTTGACGAAAGCTCATACACTCGTGGCTTTTCCTACCTCATTACTGGATGGCTAAGATATTGAAAAGACATCGGAATACCAAGCAGATTGAATGGCTGCATTCTTAACTTTCAAGAAGGATTGCTTAAGACTGATTTGAAACAAATACAAAAAGGCAAAGATTCCTCTCCCTAGGCAGTTTCCCTGGTACAGGCTCGGCAGCAATATTTCTTACTGTCCTCTGGAAAAGAAGTACTCCAGGTGCATAGTTCGAGGGGACATTGCTGAATTGGACAGCTACAGATTTAAAAGACAAAAAAATAACCCCACCATCTCCCATTGAAGAAATTATATTGATGATGAAAAGCTTTCTAAGCAATAGACATTCGATTTGGAAGGTCTTCCTGTGCACAAATGGACAGGAGTGGAGCAAACCGTATACTTACTAGCTCTATTGCAGTTAGGATATTGAGAAGACTTTAAAGGATCACTACAGTGTCAGGAAAACAAAGCAGTCCCCCTCCCGTGGCACTGAAGGGGTTAATACTCCTTCAGTTGTTATGGACAAAATAGTTGAATGGATAAAATGTTTATATTTCTCCACGTGTTCCTATTCAGTAAAAAGCTTCCCTTCCCCCTCACTGTGTGCACAATAACCATTTCCTCTGTAAACCCCTCTCACTACCCCCCCCCTTCCTATTAAGCAAAGCCTTGTGTAACAAAATGGAGAACCTGCTCCCTTACTAACCCCTCCCCCGCTTCCTTTGTTCAAGTATCGGAACAGGCCACGTGTAGTAAAATGGAGCTGGAATGGGGCTGGTAAACAAAGGAATGTCATGTGATGATGTTAGGGTCACGCCCAGTAGGGGGGGTTTAGACAAGACCCCTTAGACTGTTAACCAATTGTTGAATGTATTCTTTATGTTAACTGTGACTCTGTACACGACGTATTTCTGCTTTAAAAGGGGGTCCCACCCCTTGGAATAAGGCATTCCTATAGTCTTTCATTGACCAGCAACTTGTGTCCGGTGTGAATTACTCTAAGGAAGCGTGCACGCAATTAATCAATCAATTTGGAAAGGAGTAGATAGACAAATAGTCAAACATTTGAATTTGATCCAAAACACAGTTACTTACCCTAATCCAGCGCCGGGCTCCCCCGCCGACGTCAGCGGAGCCAAATGCACATGCACGGCAGCGCAGCACGCGCATTCAAAGTTTTCTTAATGCTTTGCTATGGACGCTCTGCGTGATGGAGGCATAATCTGCCTCCAGCGGCTGTCCGGGAGACAGCCACTAGAGGCTGGATTAACCCTGCAATGTAAACATGGCAGCTTTTTGGAAACTGCATCCAAAGGGTTAAAACCTGAGGGACCTGGCACCCAGACCACTTCACTGAGCTGAAGTGGTCTGGGTGACTATAGTGTCCCTTTAAATAGCTGCCAGAAATTCTTGCACCAAAAATCTTTTCCTAGTATATAGGCAGTAGTACCAGAGAATGGCCACAGATTGCAACAAAACCTGAGAGAGTGACCCACTTATAACTCTGCCTCTTCTGATGTCTCTACGATCTGGATCGGCATCTTCTAGCATCCTGGTAAAAGGCAAACACCTTTGGCATGTGCTACACCTAGTGTTAGTGGAGGGAGCATATGCAGTACATGCCAAAATCTTTCTGATGCACCTCAGAACTTCCAGACAAACCTACAGAAGGACTACGCATCCTGTCTGCAAAGAAGACATGAGAAGATGGGATTTGGTGAAGATGGCCATTATATACCAGAAAGGGAAGAAAGTGCCCAAGTTTTCTTGATAGTCAAGCTGTGAGCACTGCCAAATTAAAACTACAAATAAATGATTGTGGTTAAGAAGAATTAAAAAGCCAACTGCACAGATATAAAAAGATATGGTCAATGACCAAGGGAGTTGAAGAAAAATAATACAGAATTAATAGGTAAGCAGTCAGCAAAATTACCTAATCCCAATAGAAAACCAGGCAGAAGAGCCAGTGCAAGCAACAACTGACGACCAGAGGCAAATAAGCCAAACAGCACCAGTGCCACCAAGTCTATCACTATAAAGTAAGGACACTAATTATTTACACGTGATTAGCTTGTGGACACATTTCTCAATTCTAAACTCCTTTACCAGAATTTTCGATTACTGTCAAACCACTTGAAAACTATTTGCCACATTATAGGTGATGGCACCAAGAGCATGCTAGCATCGTAACCACTACAAATGGTATTGGCATGTTACTACAGGCAGTACTCCTGCATGGAATGCCAAGCTTTTTCTGCAACTACCAACGTTGTGCTATTTATTTCATTAGATTCTCTGTACCATCATTATGAGTTTACAATCCTTTCATTAGCATGGAGTATGGAGCTGGAAGTCCTCTTACCCAGTGAGATGAGGGCCTGGTGGTTCTCCATTATCAAGTCTTTGTAGAGATCATTGTGTCCTTCAATATAATCCCACTCCTCCATTGAGAAATAGACAGTGACATCCTCACACCGTATAGGAACCTGATACACACAATGATACAGTCACAATCCAGACACATCCCTTAATTTTACTGTATAATGTCCCATTCCCTGCAGCCTCACCTCTCCAGTCAGCAGCTCAATGATCTGATTGGTCAGTTCCAGGATCTTCTGATCATTGTTTCTCTCATGGATCAGGGAGCGAGGTGGAGGCACCGTGTTGGGGCTCCGGGTCCTGCAAAGTCCTTTTGGTATACAGAGGCTGCTGCTAGGTGAGATACTGTCACAGGTCTTCTTCACAACCATATGATCCTAAATATTGAAAGGGATAGAAGTACACACATTGTTCCTCATGTCCTCTATGCACCTATCAATCCATAGTCTCATAGTTCAAAATGTACAAAAAAAAAGCCCAAAGTTGCAGGATACAATAAAAGTTAAAAGTCTACTTTTTAACAGCTGAATGTGGCACTGCAAGTTTCCCAGAACAATTTACCTCTCCAGTCAGCAGGTAGATGATCTCCATAATGACATTACCCAGAATCCCTCACCTCTCCAGTCAGCAGGCAGATGATCTCCATAATGACATTACCCAGAATCCCTCACCTCTCCAGTCAGCAGGTAGATGATCTCCATACTGACATTACCCAGAATCCCTCACCTCTCCAGTCAGCAGGTAGATGATCTCCATACTGACATTACCCAGAATCCCTCACCTCTCCAGTCAGCAGGTAGATGATCTCCATAATGACATTACCCAGAATCCCTCACCTCTCCAGTCAGCAGGTAGATGATCTCCATGGTGACATTACCCAGAATCCCTCACCTCTCCAGTCAGCAGGTAGATGATCTCCATACTGACATTACCCAGAATCCCTCACCTCTCCAGGCAGCAGGTAGATGATCTCCATGGTGACATTACCCAGAATCCCTCACCTCTCCAGTCAGCAGGTAGATGATCTCCATATTGACATTACCCAGAATCCCTCACCTCTCCAGTCAGCAGGTAGATGATCTCCATACTGACATTACCCAGAATCCCTCACCTCTCCAGTCAGCAGGTAGATGATCTCCATACTGACATTACCCAGAATCCCTCACCTCTCCAGTCAGCGGGTAGATGATCTCCATAATGACATTACCCAGAATCCCTCACCTCTCCAGTCAGCGGGTAGATGATCTCCATAATGACATTACCCAGAATCCCTCACCTCTCCAGTCAGCAGGTAGATGATCTCCATGGTGACATTACCCAGAATCCCTCACCTCTCCAGTCAGCAGGCAGATGATCTCCATAATGACATTACCCAGAATCCCTCACCTCTCCAGCCAGCAGGTAGATGATCTCCATAGTGACATTACCCAGAATCCCTCACCTCTCCAGTCAGCAGGTAGATGATCTCCATAATGACATTACCCAGAATCCCTCACCTCTCCAGTCAGCAGGTAGATGATCTCCATGGTGACATTACCCAGAATCCTCACCTCCAGTCAGCGGGTGGTGGTCTCCATAATGACGTACCCAGAATCCCTCACCTCTCCAGTCAGCAGGTAGATGATCTCCATACTGACGTTACCCAGAATCCCTCACCTCTCCAGTCAGCAGGTAGATGATCTCCATACTGACATTACCCAGAATCCCTCACCTCTCCAGTCAGCAGGTAGATGATCTCCATAATGACATTACCCAGAATCCCTCACCTCTCCAGCCAGCAGGTAGATGATCTCCATACTGACATTACCCAGAATCCCTCACCTCTCCAGCCAGCAGGTAGATGATCTCCATAATGACATTACCCAGAATCCCTCACCTCTCCAGTCAGCGGGTAGATGATCTCCATAATGACATTACCCAGAATCCCTCACCTCTCCAGTCAGCGGGTAGATGATCTCCATAATGACATTACCCAGAATCCCTCACCTCTCCAGTCAGCGGGTAGATGATCTCCATACTGACATTACCCAGAATCCCTCACCTCTCCAGTCAGCAGGTAGATGATCTCCATGGTGACATTACCCAGAATCCCTCACCTCTCCAGTCAGCAGGTAGATGATCTCCATAATGACATTACCCAGAATCCCTCACCTCCCCAGTCAGCAGGTAGATGATCTCCATGGTGACATTACCCAGAATCCCTCACCTCTCCCGGTCAGCGGGCAGATGATCTCCCATGTGACATTGCAGATCCTCACCTCTCCAGCCCAGCGGGTAGATGATCTCCAGACGGCATTACCACAGGTCCCTCACCCCTCTCCAGCCAGCAGGTAGATGATCTCCATGTGACGTGCAGAATCCCTCACCTCAGTCAGCAGGTGGATGATCTCCCATGTGACTGCCAGAATCCCTCACCTCTCAGTCAGCTTGGTGGTAGTCTCCATGTGACATGCCCAGTCCTCCACCTCTCCAGTCAGCAGGTAGACGATCTCCATAATGACATTACCCAGAATCCCTCACCTCTCCAGTCAGCAGGTAGATGATCTCCATGGTGACATTACCCAGAATCCCTCACCTCTCCCAGCAGGTAGATGATCTCCATACTGACATTACCCAGAATCCCTCACCTCTCCAGCCAGCGGGTAGATGATCTCCATGGTGACATTACCCAGAATCCCTCACCTCTCCAGTCAGCAGGTAGATGATCTCCATGGTGACATTACCCAGAATCCCTCACCTCTCCAGTCAGCAGGTAGATGATCTCCATAATGACATTACCCAGAATCCCTCACCTCTCCGGTCAGCAGGTAGATGATCTCCATGGTGACATTACCCAGAATCCCTCACCTCTCCAGTCAGCAGGTAGATGATCTCCATAATGACATTACCCAGAATCCCTCACCTCTCCAGTCAGCAGGTAGATGATCTCCATACTGACATTACCCAGAATCCCTCACCTCTCCAGTCAGCAGGTAGATGATTTCCATGGTGACATTACCCAGAATCCCTCACCTCTCCAGTCAGCAGGTAGATGATCTCCATAATGACATTACCCAGAATCCCTCACCTCTCCAGCCAGCAGGTAGATGATCTCCTTACTGACATTACCCAGAATCCCTCACCTCTCCAGTCAGCAGGTAGATGATCTCCATACTGACATTACCCAGAATCCCTCACCTCTCCAGTCAGCAGGTAGATGATCTCCAAGGTAAGATTCAATATTTTCTCAGCAACCACATTGTTGTCCTTGTTCATAATAACAGTTGACTCCAATGCCCTGACAATGGGCTCTGTTCTTCGTGGAAAAGATTGGTTACAGTTTATCTAATAACAAATGAAAATGATGTGAATTAAAATAAGGAGCAAGGAGTAGCACACATTTATATAATTTTCTAAATAATATGAAATGCCTGATTGGATTGATTGAATGAAATGGTCGGTTCATAATATAATATAATCCCTATATATTGCTATCTATACACCGATATAGCCATACTGAGTATCTTATATTGCTATAATCCCTATATCTCTATATATTGCTATCTATACACCGATATAGCGATACTGAGTATTTTATATTGCTATAATCCCTATATATCTATATATTGCTATCTATACACCGATATAGCCATACTGAGTATCTTATATTGCTATAATCCCTATATCTCTATATATTGCTATCTATACGCCGATATAGCCATACTGAGTATTTTATATTGCTATAATCCCTATATCTCTATATATTGCTATCTATACACCGATATAGCCATACTGAGTATCTTATATTGCTATAATCCCTATATATTGCTATCTATACATCGATACTGAGTATCTTATATTGCTATAATCCCTATATCTCTATATATTGCTATCTATACACCGATATAGCCATACTGAGTATCTTATATTGCTATAATCCCTATATCTCTATATATTGCTATCTATACACCGATATAGCTATACTGAGTATCTTATATTGCTATAATCCCTATATATTGCTATCTATACACCGATATAGCCATACTGAGTATCTTATATTACTATAATCCCTATATCTCGCTATCTATACACCGATATAGCGATACTGAGTATCTTATATTGCTATAATCCCTATATATTGCTATCTATACACCGATATAGCCATACTGAGTATTTTATATTGCTATAATCCCTATATCTCTGTATATTGCTATCTATACACCGATATAGCGATACTGAGTATCTTATATTGCTATAATCCCTATATCTCTATATATTGCTATCTACACACCGATATAGCGATACTGAGTATCTTATCTCTATATATTGCTATCTATACACCGATATAGCCATTCTGAGTATCTTATATTGCTATAA